CCATAAATAGAGAAATACATTGTTTCAATGTTTCAAATCAAAGACACACCATCTTGCTAAACACAGTGGTGGGTTGTGAGTTTAAACGACAATTAGATATATTTGTAATATGTTGGTTTATATTTCGTAATTTGAGAACATTGCCTCACCTCTAATTCACTGAACGTTTCTTCTGATTGACAATGAATACATCGCTCAAGTCTCATGAAGCACATGTTTTCCAGATGGTTTGCTAATTTATTTCTCGTCACCATTGCGTCACATCCATGTTTAATACACTCTATTAAAGCCCAGGGGCAAGCTGCTTCATGAACCTGGGAATAAACAGAATAGTTAACACTATGCCAACACGATTTGACAAGCTTGCAAAGAGCTTACTCACTAAAAATTGTTGACCTATCGTACATATGTTGAAAGTTTGTATAACAAATATGATCTTTTTCATCTTATAGCTATTTTTAAAGCTTTGTCAATCAATTCATTACCTTGCCATATTCCATATATGTGCCCTTCCAATTACACATGTTATTTGGACATTTTACGTTTATCTTATTGAGTTCTCTTAGAATGCCTCGATCAGGAAATGTCTGTGAAATAATGTAAAGAGATAAGAAAGTATTAACTTGTCAGTATATTTAGACTGTTTCTTGTACACTGGTTGTTCTTCGTCTTTGTATTTTTGTTCATACATTTTATTTATTAGTTGTATGTATTGTGTAGAAGATTAGTACATTCTAGAAGTTTATGGCATGCATTTTTAGCCCATTGCATAATGTTTGAGAATACGCGGAATGTTTTTGACAGAACTATGATGGAGTCACTCAGTGCACAGTCATCTAAAAATAGCAAGATTATGTCATTCTGGATGTTCTTTGGGAAGCCAATAAATATAAATATGCGCTTTATCACGCATAGTCATTGTCAGCCCATGAAGAGCCATTACACATTAGTCACTGTAAGATTGTAGAGAGCCATCTGATCTTAGTAATCAGGAACTAGTCATTACATTAGTCGAGGACATTAGCATAGCACTGAAGGTAAATATAAGTCGTGACTAGTGTTGACTATATATTGGGATACAGGACTAAACATAACAAGCAAAACATTATATACCGAAAAATTGTTTGCGTTTTATGAAGACATTTTTGTACCAATGTTTATCATGCGGTACAACCGGACAATCGAAATCGAAATGCAAGACCAGGAATCGGCAGAATATATGCACTCTTACTCTGTGTTATTATCATCATTGTGGTGGTATGTAATAAATGTGAATTCGTCGCACAAGTCTATAATGCAAATATAGTTCTTCTAATTTTTACATTTTAGTCCATATCTTAACCATACACAAATAATCGAGTTTGATTTGATTTTGTTACATAAAAAAACATAGTTTTATTTTATTGGTAGTATATTCGTGGCCACAATCAGGAGACTGCATCTATGTAACCAACATAAGCGTTTGTTCATGTCCGTTATCGTTTTGTAAAATTACATAGTGTTTTTAAATTCCAGTTTGTAGTGTTTAGGCGACGACAATTCACATTGTCTTCGAAAAGTTCATTTTCTCAACGATTTGATAAGTTGTTTTGAATAATGTATGCGGTCGTCTCACCTCATCATTTTTTAGAAAGTAATCATCTTCTTCAGCGCATGCGTGACAGCGGGGATTTTTCTCCCTATGAACAAAGCAATAATCAGTGTCATCCAGTAATTCACTTCCCAAAACCCCAAAACTGCTTGTTTACATCTCTCCCAAATAATTGTTTTTATTTAAACATCTCACATGAAACATGCATCAACTTTAAACAATCGTTCGTGTGAAGTCTGCGCGCATATAGATATAAGCGCGTTCATGTCTA